TATCAATGTGGTTACTGATTTTGAAAGAAAATTTGAGATTAAAACAATTCATCTAATGACATCTACATTTCTGGAGTAGTTTTGATGGATTTTTCCCCATTATGGGTTGTATTTTTTTACTTCTTTGCATGCCTGATTTTTTTTTTTTTTAATTGGATGCCAAACACTGTATTTCACCATGTTGGATGTTGAGTATTTTTATATTCCTTAAAATATTTTTGAACATAGCTTTAGGATATAGTGAAGTTACTTGGAAATGGGTTAATTCTTTTGGGTCTTGTTTTTAAAATTACTTAAGTGGGGCCAAAGCAGCATTTATTCTAGCTTTAATTTTTCCCCATTTACATGGTTAGGCACTTCTTAGTAATCTAACTGATGTCCTGTGAATTGTGAGCTTTCTCCCCGAGCTGTTGGCCCTTGTGTGAGCTACGGGCACTGCTCTCTCTGAAATTTGTGGGTGACCCTTTACTCAGTCTCAGGAAGTAGTCATTACTGAGTTAACTTGTAAGGCTTTTTGCAGGTTACTTTAGTTCTTTCTATGGAGCTCTCCCCTCTCCAGTGCTCTGGTCTGTAACCACTAGTCACCTTCATTTCAGCACATTCTCAAGGCTATCTCCTCAACTGCGGAAGGTTGCTGGAGTCTGACTGGCTCCACCTCCCTGCACCATCCCGTACATTTTGTCATTTTTTTAGGTGTTTCAGATGGTAAGATAACTATAACCTGTTACTCCATCTTGATTAGAAGTGGAGGCGTCTAAATAGGTCTGTATAGCTTTATTTAATATGAGAGGTGCCAGCATACATTTCTTTTTTTTTTTTTTGAAGATTTTTTTATTTATTCATTTGAGACACAGAGATACAGAGAGAGAGAGAGGGGGAGAGAGCATGAGCAGGGAGAGAGGCAGAGGGAGAGGGAGAAGCAGGCTCCCCGCTGAGCAGGAAGACTGATGCGGGACTTGATCCCAGGACGCCGGGATCATGACCTGAGCCGAAGGCAGACGCTCAACCATCTGAGCCACCCAGGCGCCCCTACATTTGTGAGGAAGGTTTGGCTTAGTCAGTGAATATACCATTCAGGAAATTCGTGTAAGTGCTCCTATCATATTACATAGCACTATTAATCCCAAAGAATTTTATGTATATATCAAAAAAGGATTATAATAAGTATAGCACAAACAGACACACACAGGGACACACTCTTCAGTATTCAATCCCAGAAAGTAAAGTTAATGAAGATTCTCACACATAACTGATGGCCATTTAGTATCAGCCTTTGTTTTTGTTTTGTTTTTTTTTAATTGAACAACTCTTTTATGTTTAATTTAAAAAAATAGAAAATCTAAATAGTAATACTTTAGACCTCGTATGATTTTTAGTCTGGGATGCTATTTTATGGAAATATTAGTAAAAGATATTTATGTCCGTTATTCTCTCTATATATTATTTTTAGCTAGAATTTAGGAATAATTTTTTACTGATAAGGAAATAATGCATCCATGTGTAAGTGCCACTGAAAATGTTTATCCAACGTTTATCCAAAAAGAAAGATTTATATAATGCTGTAAATTGAAATAAAGTAAGTTTATACAGAACTGACATTTCTTAAACTTAACATATAGTAAGTTGATAACAATATATATCTTACTACCTCAGCTATAAAGTACATTAAAGCATATGTTATTAATACATTAAACCTGTAAACAGTATATTGAATGCCAACTTAGCTTTATACACTGTATTCTACACATGGGCATAGTGAGCAAAGCCACTATCTGCTTATTTTCTAGTGGGAAATTAAGATCTGTTTTGCAAAGAAGAGTAGAGTGTTATAGGATAAAATAAATATGCTAAAAACTAGTGTTTGGAAAGTGAAATTATAGTTTTTATTTATATGATAAGAACAGCTTATCCAATATCCACTGACATTTATATCTCTATGTTTTGTGAGCAGGTGAAATCCTCCTGGTGTTTTAGAGTCATAGAATTGTAGTGTCATTTCATACTGTCTTTATTTGGCCTTCTGAACTTTATACAATTATGTTAAGGTGTATTTTTTTTTTTCTTTCTGTCTATATGCCCCCAAAGAGTTTATATTATATTCTTAACTTAAAATACACACAATTTCGTGAAATTTAAAATTATGTGGTATCAAACTCCGTCTTTATATTTCACAATCTACTATTGTTGAAAATGTCTAGCTGAGACATACTGAAGTTCATCTGCTGATTAATAGGCTTCATGATAATTTTGTTTATTTTTCCAGAGAAATTGGACCTTACATTCAGATACATTATGTTTCTTTTCTGCTAGTTTTTTTATCTTCACTTATTCCTCCAGGATATGATCAATCAATAACCATGTCTGTTAGGTTCTAGATGAAAAGTAACTTTTGAGAAGAGCCAGAATATATTTTGTCCATATTGTATTCCCTTGCATTCCTTGCAGGGTGGCTGGCACGGGTGATTAGAAAATGATTTCCGAATGAATGAATACATTATTTGTAGTAAATACAGTAATCTCAATCATAACTTCTATAATAATATCTTTTATATTATAGAAAAAAAACCATATTATACCGTTAGTATAAATGACATAATCGTTTTGGTGTTTTAATTTTTAAAATACATTCTCTACCTATCTTGTATTAATGGTATATCATGAGAAGGTGAATAAAGTATGAAATAAAATAAAAAGAGTGATATTATTGTGTCATTATCTAAGTCTATAAAACAGTACCTAGTAATAGTATTTTATAATTCTTTTTTTTTTTAAGATTTTCTTTATTTGAGAGAGAGAGGGACAGAGAGCATGTGTTTTAATTCTTAACTGTTTTAATTCTTCATTGGGAGCAGAAATGCCAGAAGAGAAATACCAGTAATTTCACTGTAAAAATGACCTTATCATAAAGATTAATTTCTCTACTGTGTTTTATTGCTATATAGATTTATGATGAATGCTAGGGACTAAATGTTGGTATACCCCCAAAATTCACATGTTGAAATCTAACCCCCAAAGTGGTATTTGGAGTTGGGGTCTTTAGAAGGTAATTAGGTTCAGATGAGGTCATGAGGGGGAGGCCCCCATGATGGGATTAGTGTCTTTTTTTTTTTTTTAATTCATTTGAGAGAGAGAAGGAGAGAGAGAGAGAACATGAGAGGGGGGAGGGTCAGAGGGAGAAGCAGACTCCCTGATGAACAGGGAGCCCGACATGGGACTCGATCCTGGGACTTGATCCTGGGACTTCCAGGATCATGACCTGAGCCAAAGGCCGTCGCTTAACCAACTGAGCCACCCAGGCGCCCAGGATTAGTGTCTTTATAAAAAGAGGAAAAGTAAGAGCATCGTCCCTCTCTGCCATGTGAGGACACAGCCAGAAGGTGTGTACTACAAGCCGCGAAGAGGGCCCTCACTAGAACCTCACCTTGCTGGCACCCTGATCTCAAGCCTGCAGTCTCCAACATTGCAAGTTAAAAATTTCTGTAGTTTAAGTCATGCAGTTACGGTATTTTGTTATGGCAGTCCAAGCCGACTAAGACAGAAGTGGGGTCCTGCTGTAACAAATACCCAAAAATGTGGAAGCGGCTTTGGAACTGGGTGATGGGTAGAAGCTGGAAGGGTTTTGAGGTACATGCTGGAAGAAGCTGAGATTGCTGTGAAGGTCATGCTCAAGGCAATTCTGGTGAGGATTCAGAAAGAAAAGAGGAGAGCTAGAAAGCCTCCATCTTCTTAGAGAATACTATATAAATAATCATGAACAGAATGTTGGTAGATATATGGATGGTAAAGGCCATTCTGATGAATTCCCAGATAGAAACATAGGTAGAACATGTTATTGAACATCGGAGGAAAGGTGATTCTTGTTAGAAAGTGGGCAAAGAACTTGGCTGAATTTTATTTGTGTTCTAATATTTTATGGAGGGTAGAAATTGCAGTTGATGCAATTGGATGTTTAGCTGAGAAAATTTCTAAGCAAAGTGTTGAAAGAGTGTCTTGGTTCCTTCTAACTGATTATAGTAAAATTTGAGGAGAAAAAAAAGAATTGAAAAAGGAATTGTTTAAAAAAAAGAGAGATACGAGCATCTGAGTGGCTCAGTTGGTTAAGTATGGGCCTTCAGCTCAGGTCATGATCCCGGGGTCCTGGGGTCAAGCTCCGCATCAGGCTCCCTGCTCAGTGGGGAGCCTGCTTCTCCCTCTGCCTGCCTCCTGCCACAAAAATAAATAAATAAAGTCGTAAAAAAGTAAAAAGTGATAGTACTTAAAGTTGTGGAAAATTCTCAGCCTATTCATACAGCAGAGAATACTAAGAGTGTGGCCAAACAACCCTTTGCCAGTTTCACCTGAAGGGGATAGAGATGGAATGAAATGAAGGAAGACTTTTGGACTTCTTAGAGCCTAGAGGACTGGAACATAGTTATTTTAATGTGAGCATGCATTATTCTTCAAGATTAAGGATAAATGATCCTAAAGGCAAATGCAGAGATCATCAGGGCTGCCTCCTTGGTTTCAAAATGGGATAGGGTGCCATCGTTTCGGTTTGAAGAGATCAGGCTGCAGTTGCCAAGAGCATCCTGGGGCATAGGGCCGCCTGGCAGAGCCTGGTTGGAGAGGGACATGATTGCCACTGTTATAATCAAAACTTCTGTTTATTTATTACTGTTAATCATAACCCCAAACTGTACCACATCTCTTACCTATAAGCTAAAAGTATTAATCTTCTTTCTCCTTAAGTTTGCAGATAAATATAATTAATGATAGATGTATAATAGGAAAAAGACAAGAAGATTAATGAACCTTGGAGGAAATTACTGTTCTTACCTGTTGTGCCATTTGTAATATTGAGTACTCCAGTTTATTCTTACCCAGTGTCTTTTTGGGGCATTTCAGAATATTCTTTATAAATATTTAAAACAAATTTTAAAAGACTTTGTGATTAAAATGCATTTGCATAAAGGAGATTGGTCAACGTGTATTTAGGCTTTAATATTTTGTTATTTTTCTAGGACATAAAGTGTGATTGAACTAAACGTCTGTTTGGCTGATCATCATGAACCGTGCTTTTAGCAGGAAGAAAGGTAAGTTTAAAGGACCTGGGGCTCAATTCAGTATCACTGTGAAAATCAGGCAGAGATGTTAAGGACTCAGATTTTCCTATTAACAAACCACATGGTTTAGGAATGAAATTAGAATAGAGCAACACAAATATGTACACATTGCTAATTAACCTTTTCTGGTTATCGCCCTAATGAGAGTGGAGTTGTTTAATACATTTAGTTCAGAATACATTTATGACAGTATGTTTCCTGGCAATTTTATTCTGTGGTGTGAAACTGCAAAAAAATAAAGTGATCTGAAACTAGTCCTACTAGATTGTGTAGCCATATAGTACTAAACTCCCGGGCTTATGTAAGTTTACCGTGATTTAAATTCATGTTGGTATATGTGTGCACATGCTTCACTTTTTATTGAATAATATGTGAGGATTGATGATAGGTAAATTGATAGCAATGAGGCCAAAATAACTTTGTGATTAATTTTGAGGTAAAATAAATATAAATGTAATATATCATAATTATCAGCATAGGAGTGAAAGAAACAGCTAGTTAAATGTTATTTTTTTAAGGGGCAGTAAAGCATGGCATTTGACAAATATTTCATGATATACTCATAGGAAAGATTGAAAAATTTGATAGTTTTATGTAGTTCAGTGAAGTTAAAATAATGTATCCTTGTCTTTCTGTAAGAAGTTTAGTGATGGACACAGGGCTCTGTCCTGTTTAATATGTTGTCAGTGAAGTGGGAGAGAATAATTAAACAAATGCTACTCAATTTCATAAGTGATTGATAGTAAGAAGTGATAAACTGATGTGGTAGAATTAACAGATATTTGGGGGAGAAATGACCAGTTAGGTCATATTCCACACTATAAACTCAATAAGATACTGTAAATTGATGAACATGGGTCCAGAAAATCTAACACTTTCATTCCTATTCATATACTGTTATTATTTGGAAGGTGCACCTTAAGTGCTGTGTGGGTAAAAAATAGCTGAAGAATTAAGTCAACAATGTAGTTATCGAAGGTTCTAGTTAATTTTCTAATATATGAATAATGAACAGTCCAGAACCACAAAATAGATTGTTCTGTTCTATTCTGTGAACTCCAGCATGGTGTGTTCTCCCTTTAAAGAATTGACACATTGTAACACGCCCAGATGAGAGAGGCTGGGAAGCTTCAGGACTTTCAACCTGGAACAAGAATGGTGGCAGAGAACCTGAGAACCCTTGGTGTGATCTTTCAGTGTTTGAGGGACTGTCATGTGGTCATGGGACTAAGTTTAATAAAGGTCAAATAGGTATAAATTACAAGGTCGATGTAATGCAGAAAGAAATTCCCACAAAGTTGTGCAAACATATAATGGAATTATTGGAAGCACAAACTTTTTTTGTTATGGAAGTGAGAAGTCCTCAAACATTTGGCTGTGGTACAGAGGATTAATGTATTCAGGAGGGATTTAGGTAATGTGAACTTTCAGGCACTTTTCAACCCTGGGAAACTAGGAATTTATTATCTTATTTTTCTGAATAAGGGGAAGGAAAAAATAACATTTATTGTCATCTATAGCTTGGTTCTGATTTAAAAACACATACTGAAAGTAATGTTTCTTTTAAATTTCTTTTACTAGTGGAAAAAGAATCTAGAAATAATTCTATGAGAAATGGAAGTATTTTTAATGAAGTAATAAAAATCTTACACCACAACTCATCACTTTAATCATATTTTATTTTTTTAAAGATTGTATTTATTTATTTATTTGAGAGGGAGAGTGGAGGAGCAGAGGGAGAGGGACAAGCAGACTCCGCGCTGAGCTCAGAGCCCAACATGGGGCTCAATCTGGTGACCCTGAGATCATGACCTTAGCCGAAATCAAGAGTCGGTTGCTTAACTGACTGAGCCACCCAGGTGTCCCATTATCTTATTTTTAAAAAACACTTCTAGACTCTTTTTTTATTTGATTACAATTCCCTTTTCCCATGGTTTTAAAGTTGAAACTCCCAATTTCTAATTTCTCTTTGCTGAAGACAACATTGGAGTTTTTCATGAGAAATCCCAAGTAACCAGCAATTGTATATTTGTTTCATTTGATGACAGTAGGAATACAGCCATGGGGAAAATTGGAGTGATTTAGAGAATCAGGAAACAGAAGCATTTGTTCTTTTCCTGCTTTGCCTCATTCTCTTTAAAAAATTTCTTGTGGGGTGCCTGGGTGGCTCAGTCGGTTAAGCCTCTGCCTTCGACTCAGGTCATGGTCCCAGGGTCCTGGGATGGAGCCCCTGCATCGGACTCCCTGCTCAGCGAGGAGCCTGCTTCTCCCTCTGCCTCTCCCTCTCCCCCTGCTTGTGTTCCCTCTCTCGCTGTGTCTCTCTCTGTCAAATAAATAAATCTTTTTTTTTTTAATAAAGATTTTATTTATTTATTTGACAGAGACAGAGACAGCGAGAGCAGGAACACAAGCAGGGGGAGTGGGAGAGGGAGAAGCAGGCTTCCTGCTGAGCCGGGAGCCCGATGTGGGACTCGATCCCAGGACACTGGGATCATGACCTGAGCCAAAGGCAGTCGCTTAACCAACTGAGCCACCCAGGCGCCCTCAAATAAATAAATCTTAAAAAAAAAATTTCTTTTGATTTCTTTTTTTTCCTCAAGTCTAATGATTAATTATCCTTATCAATATTAGAGTATTAGATTATTGATCAATGTTTTACTCTAATTTCAAGTTAGAACTTGATACTGGAAGTTCTACCTACCAATTAATTCTTTTTTTTTTTTAAAGATTTTATTTATTTATTCATGAGAGACAGAGAGAGAGAGAGAGAGAGGCAGAGGGAGAAGCAGGCTCCCAAGGAGCAGGGAGCCCGATGCGGGACTCGATCCTAGGACTCTGGGATCATGACCTGAGCCGAAGGCAGACACTTAACCATCTGAGCCACCCAGGCGCCCCCAATTAATTCTGACTCTCATTTAGTGAGGTTGTTAAATGAAGAACTCGAAGAGCCTCTGCTGTTAGTTTCAACCAAACCACTATTTGGTTGAATTTTAATTTGAGCTAGAAAAATGGAATTTTATGAGAGAAGTCATATATTTTGACAATTGGGAGCTGTAATTGTACCCCTAGAGAATATATAATTTAGTCATGTTTCCAATAGCTAGTATCAGCATACGTTGTGTATTCTACTCTAAACAAAACAAGATGGTCTTTAATCAGTAAAAGCTTTTCTTTCCTAAGTGTCCATTTCACTTGGTTATCACATGCAGTCTTACTAAATCGTCCTGAACCTCAGAAGCTTAAGGCAAAGAAATTGTTATCTTAAACTCAAACATATATGTATTTTTTTTCTTTTTATCAACTCTTCCGTTAGTATTTTGCTGGTGTTCTTTGCTTGAATTAGCTATTGACTTCACTGATTTTCTTCGCAAATGCTCTAATGCTAAAGATTCTAAAAAAGACTGCATGTATTAGAATTGGATTATTTGGACTATTTTGAAGAGATCTGTAAAAATTAGTCTTAACTTCATAATCATCAAATAAATGTTAATGAATGTATTTGTTCTATAGCTCCTTTTCTTTTTTTGGATTACTTTTTAATATTTTAATATAAATTCAATTAATTAACATAGTATATTATTAGTATCAGAGGTAGAGTTCAGTGATTCATCAGTCTTGTATAATACCCACTGTATAGCTCCTTTTCTTACGTTAGCCTTCTCTTTGAATTTTTAAAATCCTATATTCTGTTCATTATGTCAAAACTGAATAATTTAGTAAAAAAGCATAAAGTTTTGAATGTGAGTAAATAATTCAACTAATTGCACTTTATTTTAACTCACCAGTTGACATACCGATGAGTAGATATAATCACAGTGCATAGGACTTAAAATTCAATATTTAAATATTATTTCCCTTTTTATAATCCATTCATATACATCTATTCACCCAACAGTGTTTAGTTTTAAATTTGATAAACTCAGAGAAGATGCTTTCAATATGCTAAACTCTGGTGATACAGAAATAATGAAGTTCTGCATCATTCTTTTTTTTTTTTTAAAGATTTTATTTATTTATTTGACAGAGAAAGAGAGAGAGAAACAGCTAGAGAGGGAACACAAGCAGGGGCAGAGGGAGAGGGAGAAGCAGGCTTCCCGCGGAGCAGGGAGCCCGATGTGGGGCTCGATCCCAGGACCTTGGGATCATGACCCGAGCCAAAGGCAGATGCTTAACGACTGAGCCACCCAGGTGCCCCTACTGCATCGTTCTTGATGAGCTCTTAATCTAAATGCATTTTGAACACTAAGATTTATTGACCCAGCAGCCAGAGTGGTTTGACACTTGCCAAATATTTTGAAATGTTGGCATTTCCCTTTACATGCCTGTTTACTCTTGAGTTAGTGATTACAGTTTAATTTCAAGGAAGGGGGCATATTCCTTAATGTCTGTGTTGCTGTTTCTGTACCATTTCCGTATATCTGATTGCTTTTGTGGGCATAGATAGTGACCAGAGACCATCCTCTGTGCTCACTCTTCAAGGGCAGGCACATCTATAGGAGTTAATATAAAGGGTTTTATTCTGTCAGTTTTTTTCTTTTGCCAGAGTATAAATTAGGATGACAGTAAGGGTGCGTTTTAGAGATCTTTCAGGTTTTATAAACTGCCTGTACTAGAGGTATGTAATGAACACCCTCTAAACCATCATCACTTGATAATGTGAATGTAGATTTTTTGTCATTGTAGCAATTGCAGTTTATCCACTGGTCATTTAATATTGTGATTATTTTAATCTGTCTTCAGTACCAGCTGAATATAACTATCTTCTTTCTAGGTCACTGCAATACAAGACTATAACAGAGGTAGTGTCATCAGTTTTCCAATAATAGTGGCTTATAGGAGAAAGCAGTTATCCCTCCTCCTCAGGGTTGGAATGAACCATTATATTCAGAGTTAGACTTTATATCCTTCTGAGTGGCGTTGTATATCTTGGAAAAGGAGACATGAGAAGAATTGAGTTAAGGGGTTAAAAAAAGAAATTGGGATTTTTTTTTGTTTGTTTTTTTGTTAGGTTTCCTAAAGGCAGATCTTTGTTTTTGTTGTTTTGATGTTTTTATTGTTCTGGTGTATAGCATTGTGATTTATTTCTTTTAATATACAAGGGCAAGACTGTATCCTAAATCTAAGTACAAATTATTCTTGAATTAATCATATCACTTTTCAGTAGCAGTCACAAAGAGAAAACGAATTAAAATAGAAAGCCTTACAGGAAATAAAAATTTCACATATTATTGGCAATATGTCAATATTGCTTTCTGAAGCTTAGAATATATTGCTTCTCAAAATATATCACCCAAGTACAACCATCACATATCCACTTTAGTGGTCAGAAATAGCCCTAAAATTCACCATGAGATTGGGATTTTTATCAGTCCCTCATGTTCTGTCTTAGAAATTCTTATGAATATTGCATTGTATCCCATTAACACTTTTAATATAACTATAGTGCATTATTTTCCAAATGGTATAAAATAATTGACATTCCAGAAATAGAGGCCTTTTTCTTTTTCTTCGCATTCCCCCAGTTTGAAAACATATTAATGCTATCAAACTAATTTCTGTTAACACCATTTTCAATGTTCCGAATTGAATGTTGAAAACACTTTGTTAGTAATCTTTTTCCTTTCAGTATGTACTTATTTACTACTTTCCATGGTAAAATATGTCTTTGATTCTGTTCTGTTCATAGTATTGATTCTAAATTTTTAAATTCCATGAGGAATAAAATACAAAACTCTGCTAAAGAAGACAGTAGTTTTTGAAGATTTCAAAATTTTAGTTTCCAAAAAATGCAGTTTCCAAAAAATGGTCAAATTTGATTTGTTTAATGTTTTTTGTTTTTTCCCCACTTAACACAGTCCACAAAATGCTTTGGTAGATGGGTAGAATACATAAATAAAATTCAAACTTGAATGAAAAATATTTTTTCTATTTCTAGCAATAATATACAATTCAAATTATTTTCAGTATCTTCTCTCCTTTTAGTCACATTTATTTTTAATATTCTCTTACACTAATCTAAGAAATATTTTAAAGATTTAAGGTTTATTGATTAGGGAATTAAAAAAAATACCCTGTAAATCATGAGAGTATAAATGGAAAGAAGAAAGATGTCACATAATCACATAATTGATATAATTGTCTTCCACTGAGTTATTTTTTTTTATATTCTTTAGAAACTTAGTATCACTTTATTATTTGGATACTTTTTAAAGGAAAAGCTAGGGGCCTTTATATCAAGGAAAGAATCTTATAAGCACTTTCCAGCTATACCATTCTCCTGTCTGACTAGTTATTCTTTCTCAGTTTAGCAAAAGAATCAATTTAGAAGTGCTCCCACCCATATTAGACTCCTTATGCTAATGAATGAATGAATGACCCCCTCAGAACATGTAATTGAATTTAACCTTGTGTATTCTTCATTGCAGACAAAACATGGATGCATACACCTGAAGCTTTATCAAAACATTACATTCCCTATAATGCAAAGGTAAAGTGGTTTATATGATATTTATTTAATTTATCTTTGTTATGGTATTATTATTAAATTCATGGTTGATCTAGGAAAGATTGCTTATGCATTGGCATTTCCTAGTAGATAATTCCTAAAAAAAAGTTTGCGTGATTTTATAATATATAGTATGGGAAGTGATCCTTTTCTCCAAATAAGTAATTCTTTTCTTCCCCTGTCACTCCAAATAAGCGATTATTTCATTTAATTATAAAGAGTATTCTTTATAATTTCTGTCTGTCACGCATGTATTTTCTTCAAATAATTTAGCTATCTTTAAAATTATTTGCAGTATCATGCCTGTAGGAAATAAAACAACCAACAAATTAGCTTCCTTTAAAAGCATTTTAATGTTGCATTGCATAGACGAATGTAAAAACTAACCTGATCATGAGAGGAATGAGCCAAAATTGAATGAATGCAATTTTCATTCAAAAAAAGAGACAAAATTTGAACTGTTAAGAAAACATAGAAAAAGCACATTTTTGAATCTCGTCTTCAGTTTTCTTCATTTTAATAAATAGAAGCAATCTATACTTCATATCTTCAAAGAAAAAGTCCTTAAAGAAAGCTGTTATTGTATAATTAGGGAGCACAGAATCTGAAATAGATTTCAGAGAAATCTGAATCTAAACTTGGAAGACACAGAAGAGAAAGTTGTGTTAGGGAACATGCAAGTAGGTCAGATTTAAGTAACTGACCTTTGGACACAGCATGGGGAAAACAGAAAATGATAAAATTATTTTCATAAAGAGAACTTAAGGATTTATGAATTAGCAAACTCTATACTGGGATATAATGAGATGAGTTGTAAGGAATGATTTCAGGAAAAATTTAAAAAAACATATATTGAACAGAAAGTCAATGCTGTTTTAATAGAGAACGTCTTAAGTGCTGGTCTGAGTCTGTATCAGTAGGAAGAAGCATTTATAAGACCATCTAGAGGTTCGTCCAGAGCTGTTACTCAGCAGTGAGATTTGTAGAGTATGGCAACTCCATTTTTTCTTGCTGACTTTGTAGCAAAGAAATACTCTAAAATATTTTTGGTGTAAAGCTAATACGGTTGAAATCACTGCAATGCTTGGGACTTTCCCTCTGGTGTTAACATGAGGTTTGATTGGCATGATTTAGCATGAAAAGTTTAGTTAGCTGAATGAGAAAAATTGAGTTAATATCTATCTCTTCCACAGATATTCTTCATATTAGCTATTGAGAAACTATATGAAAACTATTTAGAAAAAAATTAATCTTGAAAACCACTATTATTTTAAAGGGCGTGCTCATTTTTGATAATACTATCGATCATACTAGAATCATATATTTAAGTGAAACCACCACATATTATTTATGTATTTATGTATTTATTTATTTATTTATTTATTTATTTATTTATTTATTTTTTAAAAGATTTTATTTATTTATTTGGGAGAGAGAGAATGAGAGAGAGCACATGAGAGGGGGGAGGGTCAGAGGGAGAAGCAGACTCCCCGCCGAGCAGGGAGCCCGACGCAGGGCCCAGTCCCATCATGACCTGAGCGGAAGGCAGACCCTAACGACTGAGCCACCCAGGTGCCCCTGATTAAAACTGTCCTTAACTTAAGCTCTGTGGGTTGATGTGAACAATGGAGATCTGCTTGTCTACATGGAAAAGTTGCCTTGCTATTTTACAGGTGAATAACAGTTATAAGACATTCTACATGAAGTAGAGGGTACAAAAACATCTTTGCAGACTGGGGTCAGTAAATTATGGAAGAGCAGGTTGATTTTGTCCATTCTAATACGGCCTACTGAGTGATAATACATGTCAGGTGTACCAAGTAGTGTTGCAACTATTTGAAGAACATTATTTTTTTCTGAATTCCCCTTTTTTGTGGAACATTTCAAACTCATCATTAGTAGTCATTTTTGAAAATTTTCTGTATCTCTTTAGAGTACGTGCCACTTGAAAACCAAATCAATGTCCATAGGATGTACCTTAGCACAACAACAACAAAAAATATAGACTCTTGGGGTGCCTGACTGGCTCAGTCCATAGAGCATGTGACTCGTGATCCTCAGGGTCATGAGTTCAAGCCCCATGTTGGATGTAAAATCGACTTTAAAAAATCCACAATAAAAAATAGTAATAAAAGAAAAAGAAAAAGAAAAAAAAAACAAGGAAAAATAAATACAAAAGGTTAATAAATATATGAAAAAGATCCTCCACTTATAATCAAGTAAGTACTTAAAAAATACAGGCTCTATACATTTGATGAATTAATGCATAATAACGTTTCCAAAGTAATTACAAAATAGTTACATTTCAGTGGGCCCTAACACATGCCAGGTACATGATCTCATTTATTATTTTCCATGACTCAGTATGGTGATTAGAAAACTTTATACTTTACGTAAGAGAAAACTAAGGCTGAAAGATTAAGTAACCTGCCTATTGTCACAAAGCTTGTAAGACAGAGCCAGAGTAAAAAACTGAAGTCTATGTGACCTCAAAGATTCGCTGTTTTTATGTATATAATAACACTTGATTAATCATCCATCCACTACATTGCTGATACGTATAAGGTGCTATTACTGAAACTTCACTGAATATTGGTGAAGCTTCAGAGATATGACACATGTCTTATATTCTCCTGGATCTTATCGTCATAAGGAAATATCATACAAAAATAAGCAACATAAAAGTGAGATCCTGTTCTGTGTCATTCAAATGTCATTTAACAGAAAGCTATGGAGATTCAGAGAATGGTGTGACTCTTGTTTTATGAAAGTGGGAGTGAGGTAGGTTTTCCAAGGATCAAAACAAGGGAGGAGTGACCATTTCACGCAGAGATATCTGAAGGATGATGAGTGGAGTCCATAAGGTCTAAGGTACAAACTGAGTATGACAAGAGTTGGGCTGGGGCATAAAGGACTTATGATGATAAAGTATTTTATCAGTCAAGGTTGCATCTGAGAAACAGAACTACTAGGATGTGTACACACACACATTTATCTCAAGGAATGGGTTACACAATTTTGGCACTGGCTAGGCAAGTCTGAAAAGCATATGGCAGGCCATCAGGAAGGGCAGGCTGGAAGTTCTTGGGCAGAAGATGACCACAGGTAAAATTTCTTCTTTAGGGACATAGCAGTTCTATTCTCAAGGCCTTTAAATTGATTGTATCAAACCCACTCATGTTATCCAGATGTTCTTTTTTACATGAAGTCAGCTGATTATAGATGTTAATCATATCTATAAAATAACTTCATGGCAATACTTAGATTACTATTTGACTGAGTAACTGGATAGTATAAGCTGACCAAGTCGACACATAGCACTGAGCATCACAAGTACTAATGCTGGGCAAGGCTAAAAAGTTAAGTTGGGAAGGCTTTGCATGGCAGGAGAAGCAGTCTGAGTAGTGAACTAAGTGAGTAGGATTTTAGGAAGATAAATCTTTAGTGATCTGAACGTTGATTTGGATTGAGAGATAGGATGATATTCAGCTTCTTAGGAAGTTAACTTTAATGGTCCAGGTGTGTGGTCTTACGTGTATATATAGGGTAATAGATAAACATACAGTGGAAAATAAAGATGTGCTAAATATTGTAAGGAAAATTGATGCAACAGAGGAATAATTTATATGTGGGGGAAAAGAAAAATACCTATTTTCATCCTGGCTAAAAGAGGGAATGATCATACCATTAAAAGATTTCCACCACTTCATTCACTTTTGGGATCCACTGGTTACAAAATAACCTGATAAAAAAAAAATTAACCAGAGCTGTTGAACTGTAATTCTCCCTGGGGAAACATGTAATAATGTTTACATTTAGATGTTTTCAGTTTTAAAGTAATAGTTATCTGCTTTCATGTTACAATTTCTTTTTTTTTTTAAAAGATTTTATTTATTCATTTGAGACACAGAGATACAGAGAGAGAGAGCATGAGGAGGGGGAGAGACAGAGGGAAAGGGAGAAGCAGGCTCCCTGCTGAGCCAGGAGCCTGATGTCGGGCTCGATCCCAGGACCCTGGAATCATGACCTGAGCCGAAGGCAGACGCTTAACCATCTCAGCCACCCAGGCGCCCCTCATGTTATAATTTCTTTAATTTTTTTAAGAACATATTTTAGTTCCACATTCTTTCATTTTATATAAAATTCTATTTCAGAAATTCACATTTAATATTTAGAATATGCTTATTTCAGACCATATGTGGATATAAAATAATAGTTGCTTTCAAAAGTATTATTCTGTATAAAGTTCATTAGTTTTGGGATTTTTTGTTTGTTTAACGAGCAGTGACAGCTTTAATACTAGTTCACTGGGAATTCTGCATGTTATCCTGTGTACTCTGTAGTGATGTTTTCAAATTGCAGGTTATGCTCCATGAAAAAATGGGTCATGAAATTAATGCAGGGGGTCACGGGAGGCATGTATTTAAAGATGAAATAGAACAGAAAAGAAAAAGAAACGACATTTTTAGAATGCATATGGTAAACATCAGTTTGCTCATAAAATTGTGGTTCATAGTCATTGAGTATGAAAGCCACTGCCTTTAAACGGTAACCTGCCTTTAAAGTGTACGAAAGACTTCACCAGATTTAACCAATTTAAATCATAAAATAATAATAGGGGGAGCTGCTTAAAAGAGCCATTAAATTTTTAATAGAAGAGATGATCCACATGCAGGTTTAACCACATGCCCTCATTGAATATAGCATCTTAAAATCATTTCTGAAATATGCGCGTAAGCATGATAGGAATGATAGAGAAATAAAGTAAAATGTAAATATCGGTTCACTTGTGCACTCGTTCATTCACACATGTGCTTATCCATTTGAATGGAGTTCCTAATATATGTAAGGTCCTGATCTAGAAAAATGGGAATTGATTAGTAAACCAAATAGATAAAATCCTGCCCTCTTGGGCTTTCCATATAATAAACAATAATATAACTTTTTCAGAAATACCTGCTAAGAAAATTGTATTTTTATTT